TAAAGGAATAGTTTCCCATTGAATCTAAAAGGAGGTAGGGATTTGGATTAACATAAAGCAGTTCTGGGGAGCTGTATTTGCTATAATAAACAGCCACTGAAAAGAAGCCATTGAGTAATTTAATATCTCTTCATTGTCAAATATGTGTTTCAGATCTCATTTAGAACACATGGTTCTAATCTTTCTCTGAAAAGAGAATGAATAAACTATTTATGGGCTACTTTATGGAACTTACTGTGGTGGTACTTCATTGACCCAATAAAACAATTTTTCACTTTGAAACATCCTGGTTAGGTGAGAAGCTGGAATTATTCATATTTTCCAGATAGAAAATTGAATTACAAAGAATAATCAGAGGTTATGAATAATTTGGGGGGATTCCATTTCAGAAATGGAAATCCTGATTTCTGGGGATTCTTTCTTCCAAAATGGAACATAACCTTGAAGCTTCTTTTAGAAGTCAGTACTAAGACTCAGGACATTCCTGATGCTGCTCGGTACTGTCAGTACAGGATACCAGTACTGATCTGAGAGGAGGGAAGAATTCTTTGAGCTAGGCTTGGAATGACAAGAATACCTCCGAAGTTAAATGTCAGCAAAGAGAAGAGCCTAAAATAAGAGGATTTCTGGGGAATGAGAAGTCACAAGGCTGGTATTTCACAAGGTGCCCAACAGAAGCTCCAGTAGTCCATAGGACAACCTGGTTTCCATCTTCCTTTTCCAACTCAATGTATTACCATGTAACATGCTGATTTTAATGGCATAACCTATTGTTGACAGGTTCAATGCTTGTATCTCTGTTTCAGCTACAATACTTAGTACTTCTAAAAAACATGCTTGAAGCATGCAGAAAACATGAGGGAAAAATAGCCATCTTTATAAAGTCTGTAAATAACTAGTCCAATACTATACAACATTTCTGTATCAGAAGCAGCAAAAGCCACTATTGCACTGGGCTCTTCAGTTAATTCAGTAAAAAGGGAGTCTCCTTTTGTACCCTTCAGCACTGCACCTCATCTCTGACTTGGTAAGCCATGACAGCCAGTGACAGGATGGGAGTCAGCGTGGAGGAACCCAGCAGGAAGGGAAGGAGGGGGATGCTCCTTCCCTCTGTGCCTCCATCCTCTGCTGGCACCCACCCTGGCTTGAGGCACCGGCAGTCACCCCGGTACATGGCATACTCTGCACTGCCTTGGTGAGCTTTAAAGGCTGTCATCTCTGGCACTAAGCCTTCAGTGGTGTCAAGGGGCTACTCGTTGGCCCTGGGTGAGTGTGCCCGCTGCTGGGATTCAGAAGAGAGGCCCATGGCACACTGTGCTGCAGTGCTGTAGCTTGCAGGCCATCAGATACAGCAGATCCCCCTCTCACTGGGGTCATCCCATTTTTCAACAGAGAATTAACACCTGATGAACCACAGAGATAAACCAGTGCTCAGTACGCTTAAGACTGAAATTTAAATCCCTTTCCAAAACAGGAATATAAACTGAAAATGTCCTGTTGTGTTTTTAGAGAGTTTCATTCGCCTTCCTGATGTTTCTTGCCCCATACACTGTCAAAGTTAATATGGGGAAATAAGGGAAATAGCAATATACTGAACAATTCCAATTCCCCACATTAGTTTGCATATTTTTTTCAAGAAAACTAAGGCAGAGGATTGGTGGAAAAGTAGTGTGCAAACACTTAAACAAAGACTGAATCACAGCATACATAAACCTAAAGCTACTAAGAAGCTACACAGTTAGCCTTCTTACTATCACTTCCTAACCTTTATTTTTCACAACTTGAATTGTAAATTATTAAAAGAATAATATTCTTTTAACAGGATTTAATAGGATTTTTTGTTGGCTTACAGCAAATTTGTCACACAAACTAAAGAAAAAAAAATCCACTATATGGTGTGAAATTGCCACTCACCTCTTCTACTTCAGCCAACTAAACACTCAAAGAAGAGGTATGTTGTTGTCTTCCTTGTGAACCGCTGCTAGGAGAGGCCACCTACCATCAGATTACAAAGACATTTTCTGAGTCTGCCTCTTATTTCTACCTTGAGGTACATTTCAGGTAAGGAAGGAAACAGGCTGTTACACTTCTTGTACTTTTTTAATTTTGCCTTGCGCAATGGTTTTCCCACTGTCTTACAAAAGCAGTTACCTTTTCGGACTCCAGCTTATTTTATTTTATACCAGTTTTCCTTCCAACACACTGCTGCCACATCATTTCTCTGCCTGACTTCCTTCCTGGCTGGTTTTTGTTTTTTTTGTCCTTCCATGGTTTACACCATGCCTTGAACAACTATCCCAACTCCTTCTCCATAACTCCAACCTTTTCCATAATGGATTTTCACTACTTGCCTTCCTCCCTGAGCCTGGTCAGCCACCTCTTCCTCCAGGTAAACATCTTCAAAGAAAATGTCTTTTTATGCCATATTCCATGCTGCACAGCAAAGTAGGGATTGCAACTTGAAAGATGAGCATCTTTCCACTTTAGTTCTGCTTGGCTGACCTGATTCAATCTGCTGGGAGCAGGTTCTGCTCAGCATCATTGCTGGACCTTGCCCAAGAAAGGCTGAGTCTTTAGGCAATTCAGATGCAAAGCTTGGCATGTCTTAATGGCAGCTTCTAACAATTTGGTAGTTTTCTTGTTATTTTCATTAAAAATGCCCACAAATATGTAACTGAAATTTCATTCAATTCACTAGCAAATTTCAAAACCCTGTTAGTTTACTGGAACTACAGAAGTGTTACAGCTTCTGAAAAAAAAGGTTTTGAGAATATTTTGGCATAGGTAAAATTAATTTTTGCCCTAACTCCATGGTTAAAATGACTCAGTTGCTCTATCTAATATTTCCCAAGATACTTCAGAATTACTTTGTAAATCAGTTAATTTTTAGAACAATTATAAGCAAATGAAGACCTGATATGTAGCAGGAAATCTTAATTAATAATAACAGGCCTGTTACAAAAACTAGAGAGACATATCTATCTATACACATATTTACATATACACATAATTCCTGTCGTCTTTGAGTCTCTCCAACTGAAGTTCTGTCAGAACTTCCATTTTAAATACCTCTATCTAAAAAAGTACCTTGACACAAAGAAAAGATGTTGATGCTCTCAAGGGTAAGGTTCTACATGAGAAGAAGGTGTACAAGATTGGGCAGCATTTAATTTTTATAAAATTTTTTTCCTGTATACATTTTTGTGAGAGCTGTTTTACACATGTGAGAATATTTTAGCATGAGGAATAGATGATATGCTTTTTACTGCTGCATATATTTGTGCAATATTACAAAATTGCACACACTTTGATGATCAGGTTGGGAACTCAATCATCATGATTCTGTTCATTCCATGACTGGGTGACCTCCATCCTTATTACCAATTTTCAGTTCTATTCAAAACAAGTGACACTTCATATTTTCAGTAGATTATTAAACAGACTTTGGTTACAAGACTGAAATTCACATAAAAGAATATTTTTGTGTGTAAAGATATTAATTATGTTGTTACAGTACATTGCGTTTTGCTATTTGAAAACACTTAAAATAAGACACTCCTGGAAGCTATCAGACTACTTGCAAGCAAAAATTCAGACTCCACGTAGCTGAGAGCAAAGGTTTTAAGAAGTAAATTTTCAAGAAAGGGAGGTAAAACTTTTTAAGGCAGAGAAGCTTTTTCTAAGAAGGACAACTATATTAGGCAAGCGTTAAACATTCAGTCATGGCACAGGTGGAGTCAGAAATTTTTTTGTAACAAAACTGATAAAGAATCCACTTAATAGGATGAATGAAATTCCTTTCCTGTTCCACAAAATTTACAAGTTTTCAAGATACAATGCTGTGTTTGGGGGAAACCAAGCTCTCTCGAAGGGTACTAAGAGGAACCTGCAGCAACGTAAAGGCAGAAGGATGACTAGAGCATTCACCTGTGATCTAGCAAGTTCCTCCTTTTTTTTGTATTTGACTGGGGAATTGAACAGGACTTTTTAGGGGACTTGTGTCCCATATCTCAGCTGGGTGCCCTAACAAAAGTATATAGACTCCTAGCAGAATTCATCTTATATTCCTAGAACAGTTTAAGTTGGAAGGAACCTTAAAGATAGATCATCTAGCTCCAACCTCACTGCATGGGCAGAGAACCTTCCACTATACCTTCTAGCTAGCTCCAGGTGTCTCTACACAGGAAATGCACTAGTGGTAGCAGCAGAGTCCTGGATATAAAAGACCTCACACTATAAGATCAGTCAGGAATTACGACTCCCAGGTGTCCACCTTTTCCTCTTTGCTCTAAGGACACCTTATGACGACAAGCTCCAGTGGAGACACCTGTATTGCAGATGGTAACATTTAGTTACAACTTCCCAGCTAAGCTTGTTTTTTTTTCTGGCTAATAAATGTTTAATTATTTATACAACTGGACAAGCTTCACTACAAAATGACTCATGTAAGATGACAGACGTGTATGCTATGAACCTAGCTATACAGTTTTTAAGAAACATTTAAAAAATATTTTAAAAACACTTTTGCATCCTTCTTTTTTTGTACCAACCTCAGGATTAGTTTAAACTGATACAAAATTCATAAAATGTGTACCTCGATAACTTTTTTCAGGCCTCATATCAGTAGCTGTCATTACTAATAATCTTATCAAAGATAATGCACAATATAATAACATCCATATAATTCCAAGTATTTGAAAACTGTTACTTTTTTTGAACTGGAAGAACATGTCTTCAGATTTTATATGGATGGTTACTTCTCCCCATCAAGGCAAGCAGCAAAACATTGAAACTGAGCATAAGCAGGATAAACAAAAATCAGGACTTTATGAAGTTTGCATGGTAGCGATTTTAAAATGATTTCTAGTGGCAGGATTTCTGGATGATGGGAATTGTGATTTTCTCACAGCAGAGAGAAGGCTATTTTTAGCTTACTCATATGAATTGAGAGTCGTATACTTTACAGGCAATTTGCAGATAGCATCATTACAGGTACTTACCTAAGCTTGATCTCGTGTTGGATCGCTCTATTATCGCGTGCTTACTGGGATTGTTTAACACTGAGCGTTTGGCAAGCGAGATGTCTGCTGTGACTCGTGTAATTGATATACTGCAACAATAAAGACAGTAAGATAGTACAGAATGTTACTTCATTTAACACTAGAAGATGGCTAAGACCATAGGAAAATTACTTCTTCTCAGAAGAACAGTATGCTTCCCATAATGGGAACAGAGGAAAAACTTTGTCTAACTAATACTGCTACAAGAACTATTGATAAGACATCATCCTTCTGTACAGTCCTGAAATGCAGTATGACCACTGCCTGCAAAGCTACACATGCCTGGGGAGAGGGGAAGCAGGAGAAGGTCAGAGATGTGCTGCAGAAGATGGGACTTCCCTGGAGTGCCTGGGTCCAATGAGTCCGTGCAAAGTCTGACTTTGCACAACTATGCCCAGTATGAAAAGGCTGGTTTCTCTTTTCCCCAATTTCTTGAATGGTACTGAATGACAAGCTGGCATATTTTAGCCATACGTATAAGACATATGGGGATAAAATGGTAACGGTAAGTCTTAGCAGGGAAACTAATACATCAATATAATCTATTTATTTATTTAAATTTTATTGTTCAGTTTACTAGCATGTGTTTTTTAACAGAGTGTAAGAGTTACCTATGATTTTCCAGAAAGATCCAGCAATATGCTGGCCACCTAAAAATGGGAACTGTAACACAGAGAAACATGTACTTGAAAACTGGCACGCTCAGTTTTGTGTTTATGAGGAAAGATGGGCCAAGAAAGAAGTGGTTACTTTCAGTTTGCTACATAACCTTCTGCATATTCTTCATCCTAGGAAAACAGTTACTTTGGTTTGTTTCGCATTACAGGGTCAAAATACACTCTTAAGTTCCCTTTCAAATTCTGGTCTAACGGGGTTCAGAGGTCACATTTTTCCAGTGCTGAAAGTTAAATCAGACTGATGATATTCCCTTGTTCTTCCTTGTAGGATTTTACTTGCAATTGAAAAGGAGGAAATGGATTTGCTAAGAACAGGGAGGGCTCCTCTCTAGCAAGCACTGTCAGATGCTGTTTGTTCGTACGAAATGTAATCCAACAGGTCATTTCCCAGTGAGCTTAACATGTGTATACCCTTATCTAAAACCCTAAAAATTGTAACAAAGCCAGAAGTTAATATGGAAAAGCAGAATTATTTGGACAATACAGATCAGTAATGTAATTTTGGAAATTTAGACATGATTTAACTTAAACTAAAAACGTAACCAAAGATTGTGATTTCTGGTACAGCTCCTCACAGATAATGCCATTTGTCTTAAAAATAAATCAAACTCATATTGGGGTAGTCATCAGTTATATTTATTTGTTAATGGATATACACTAGAAACTTCTACAACTTTTTGGGTTTTTGGTTTGATTTTGATCTTTTTTCCTGCCAGTCTTCCTTCCTACATGTAATAGAAATTTTTTGTCCTTTTTAAATGCAATTATGGTATATTGAACCAAGCCAGATTTATCAGTCTATTTTTCTATCTATGAAAAATGCTATTTTTCATTTTAACGTCTTTCTAAGGTCATTTTAATGTCTTTTGAGACATGTCTCACCAGAATGACCAAGTCTGCTCCCAAAACAAAGGACATGTATGTTCATATTGCGAAACAATTGCAATGAGAGCAGGGACAGCAGTGTGGCAGCTGAAAGCAGTAGTATGAATCTAAGAACCTCCTGTACAAATTTGTTCAGGACCTTGATTACCAATTCAGATTGCTAATAAAGTTTGGAATGATTCAAATCTGCTATTGTATTCAGAGTATTTGTGGATTCACCCTGCCTCAATGAGATCTACAACTGAAAATCAGAAATTCTCTAAAATACCTAAAGACATAAAAACACAGTATTTTTTTTTTGCTTGCAACAACCACTGTTTTGTTAACTTCCAGTCCTGAAGGTATGCGTTTAAGGTTTGACGACCCTGAATAATATAAAGAGGGATTTATAAGTGGTTAGGTATCAACATCACTATTCTGACTGAGAAAATCCAACGGCTTAAACAACAATGCATTTTAAAGAGCTGAAGCTATTGACAAAAAACCTCAAGCTCCCTCTTCAAAGTTTTGACTGGACAGATAGAATAGTGTTACTGATCTGTCCACTTCCAAACTAAATAGAAAGTTACAGATATTATAACACCTTCCTGTTCTTTCAATTTTCCCCCCACAATGTCAACCCATTAGTGCATATTAGTCTGTAGCTTGATCCAGTCACAAAAAACGTGTGGAAAATGCACCTGATGTCTCTGCTCCGTGGGTCCGTGATGTTTGAGCTACAGATCATGCTGCTGCTTTTAGAGGCAGATTATCATTTGACACATGTACTACAGTAATGTCTGAGGGCTCAAACACAATCTGAGTGGACCTTGCCTAGTCTGCTGCCACAGCGCTCAGATCAGAACCCAGCGAGTGCAGCTCGTCTGCTACCAAGGGTGACCATATTTCAGCAAAGTGGGGGACTGCCTTACCCCTGCATCCCAGTCCTTCTGAAACTTCCCACTACAGAGCCCAGAAGTACTGTCAAACCAAGATCCTATCTTGAGGGATCAAATTTGGATTTGACAATCCCATGTATTAGATAGTCAGAATCTCATAACACTCTTTCCAAGTTTGATGCCAAGTAAAGAATTAGAGCTGAGGAGAAATGGTGGCTCTTGTCATTTTGCTCAGAACCTGAGAAGCACTGATGAGGTATCACTTGAAAAATATATAAAATAACTTTTTAATTTGTAGATAAATATCTAGCAATTTGGAGTGTGTATGTTGCAGTCATCAAGGAGACATCCTTTTTTCCACTCAAAGATACACCCCTGAACACTTCCCACTGCCACACAACCTCTGCATGTTCTGCCAAGGAAACTTTCAATACACACTAGAGTCCACTTATCAAGGAATTATCCATCATTCTTGATTTTCTACAATGTCATAATTTCTTAAAATCCTGGTAGTACCTAAACAGAACTTGAACTGAAGTATATTTACATTGCCAAGTACTTACCGCCCTTCGAATCTATGTTTTAAAAAATCAAATAATGCTTTTTGCATCATATCTGTTACCTAGAAGCAAACAAACAAAAAATTAATAATCATATAGGAAATTCATAGTACTTGATGCTAATAATATTATATAATAAAGCTGACAGTAAATCATATCTGAACAACAGGATCGGAATGCAATTTATTCTTCATCTCAATTCTGACATGAAGTAAAATACAAATAAGCGTCTACTTACTAGGAGTAAAAACTGTCTAGATATTTGCCTATGATATAAAATATCAAATACAAATGAAGCACAGTATTTTGGCAAATAAAACATTCTCAACAATCAATTACCTCATATCCCTTCAGAGAAGGCCCCACTAAAACTACTGGTCGCATAGAAGGCACTACATCATAGGGAGGGATGTGCTCTGTCTGCAAAACAGATAAAGTTTTCAGTGTCACAGTACCTAGAGAAAGTTTATACACTGTTTAGAACATTAGGAACTATGAATTTCCAGCGATGTCACCAACACAGGAATCTCTTTTAATTAACTTTTCCCAAGAACTTGTAGCACAAGATAAGGACATATGAGGTTCAGGGATTTGTTTTGAAAAAGTTTTTTTTTGGACTTTAGGTTTTCCCACTGTTTTCACATTTGCTCTGGATAGTTACAAAACTCTATTTCTCGGACATGCATATGTTCCTTTGCATAATTCTTAACTGGTAAATTGAAAAGGTTATTTCCAACAGCTAATGATTTGAAATGATTGACTCGAGAGATGTGACATCTGTTTCCCGCAAAAATTTTATGTAGGAAAATGATGAAAGGGAAAAATAAAACAAAATGGGATGGAAAAAGCATAACATCTCTTTTTTTAATGTTCAGATCTGCCCACTGCTTGACAAAACATTGTGACATCACTGCAAATTCCCACGGCAGCACTCATAATCTGACATCCACATTTGCATCCATGATTCAGTTGCAAAATGAAACCAAAATAATGACTGATTAAGTTAGTACTTCTAGAAAATTATCATAAACAGAGCTTGGGATAGCAATTTTTCCACTGTGGGAAGTTCCTGTCACTACCCAAGAATGGATCCTGTTAGTACAATATTTATCAAAGTACTTACTGATGTATCATGCACAATTTCTAAAAAGTATTTTAAAATACAAAGATAAAAAGATTACTTCCTTCCAAAGATTGCAAAGGTTTTATATTGTTATCATAATGCAATAGAAACAAATTAAACTGTTGGTTTGGGGTTTTTTTTCTTTGTTAATAAATGGCTATTTCAACATATATCAATCACCAAGAATGGGTCTTATCAGAAAAAGTTTTTTGTTCATATGGGAAGTTTTGGTTTATCTTTGGGAAAACATGATTGAAATCCAAATCCAGAAACATTTGAGTGATATGGAAAAAGGAATGCTGGATCTATTCTTCTAATGCTTACATAGTACAAATACATCAGTCAAGATAACAGAATACAGACACTGTTCATTGTTCTAGTACTCAATGTATCCCAAGGTGTTTCACAATAACATTAAAATAAGTATATACATTCCAAAACACAAACCCACAAAGACAGACATTAGTACAGTGACAGCACACGGTGCTACACAAGCAGCAGTCTAAAGCAGTCTAAAACATAGAAAATATTTTTGTGAATGTTCTTTAACATAATTTATTTTGGTTTTTGTTACCTGTAGTTTCACCAAATAATTAGTAACATAAGAATGAATACCAGTGCCCAAGGCATCATAAGCATGTGAAATGGATTTATTTTACACAGCACAGAAACTGACTCAACACATTTCAAAGCAAACCCCTGCAATTAAGGTGTGCCAGTATCAAAATGCAATCCTCCACTGTTCTTGCTAATATTATTAATAATCTGGTAAGTGTATTAGAGACAGATTCAATGAAAAATTCTTTACAGATATGCAAGTGCTTATAGAATGAGTGTCCTGATGCAACAGATTTTTGTCTTAATGTGACTAACTCAACTGAAGGCATACATGCTAGAAGTTGACCAGCTATTTGACAGTTAGGGCAGGCATAGAAATTACCTTATTTGATGGAATATGAATTATTCTTAAAATCTATTCTGTCAAAATGGGCATATTTTTTCTCTAATCTTTAAAGCTTGAAATAATGAAGCTCTCAGCAGAAAATTGAGTAAGAGTTATCTAATGGAAGCATTAAAGTTCTTTAATTTAGCATTAGAGAATCTAATGTCAGTGAGCTATACAGTTTTCACTGCAGATTTAAGTTCAAATAGTAACTCATCCTGAAAACCAGCAGTTTTGACACTATGGCTTTTGCTCAGTGGTTTGACTATGTAGATTAATTTGAAATGCCCATCCAGTACTTAATGCAACTTAATCACAAACCTCGCTATATCCAGTAATGATTCCGATATGGAAGAAAAGAGGCACCAGAGAGTAGAAGAAAGAGATGTGACTAACCACCATCCAGGTCTAAGGTGGTTCATCTAGAAGATGAACCTTTGAAAGATGCTTATGCAGACAGCATCCAATACATGTCAACATGTATTATTCTTCCTTATCATTTTTGTGTGGTTATAAATATGATTAAGTAATAAATTACTCAGAAACAAGAAACTGTTGTTGATTTCCATACCGGGCATAACAGACCCTACTGAAGCCAATGGTCATGACTTCGGAAATGAGAAGGATTCAATATTATTTAAAAGAGTTCAAGGAAAAAAGAGAGACAGAAACAAAGTTCTATTTACTAAACATGAAAGCATCCACGGCAGGGACAACAATGTCACTTGGCACTATTTATAGGCACTATAACAGTCTGTTATTACCTGTAGATTTAAGTGACTGGTTAAAAACAAGTGAATAAGAGCTATGAAGTCTAAAGGTTCTAAAACAACAAAAGTAGAAATATGGTATTTCACTGCATAGTTTGGTTGCTACCTAATGTCTTGCCAACTTATTCCAGCAAGATCCTAGAAATGTATTGCAGCTTGTTGTAACACAATGCCAATTGCATAATTCTTTAGTTATCTGGGTTATCTATGGAGAGACATTGGCTCTTCTGGAAACGACCAGTGCCATTTCCAATAGCTGAGATACTAAAAAGGTCTGACTGATGGGTGACAAGAACATTTGGCCGATAATTTATACATGACAACAGGAAAAACTCAAAGTAAACTGTCAAAACAAGTCTGAGGTTTTCCAATGGTGTTGTGCACCTGCAGATTTTGCACTTAGTGAACTGGAAGCTTAAATATGGACTAAACTAAAAATACAACAATTTTGATTATTCATTTTCTAAGTACAAACTGAGTATCTGATAGACTCCAATAATGATTTCAATAGACTGAGAAATAAAAAAAAATATAATTGAGAAAGATATAGAAAGAATAAACAGGCACTAGAGAGGTGAATTATATGGATTTTCTATAAATAATTTTCTCAAACTTTCAGAAGACCTTTCAAATGTGTTCTATTATTCCATCAAAAAGGATAAGTACTGTAGCAGAGTTTCACAGATACACTGAACTCTTGCCTGTTTTCTTGTACTGAATCCACTAACAGCTCAATACATCTCTTCCTCCTTAATTCTAGAATAGCTGCATTGTTAATCCGGAGTAACAATGCTAATGATGCCAGTGGCAGGATAAACACAGGCAATGTCAATATAAACTTACCGATTTCTGCTTCTGCTTAGCTACAGCAGCATGGAAAAGAAACAAAGAACAACAAAGCATGCATGTTATTGGCTTGTCAAAGGACGCAGACAGTTAACAGGACTAGAAATGTGACGCAGTGCAGGTGAGCAGGTGGACAGATGGGAGCTTGGAAGTCGGTGTTACCTTCTTAAAGAAGGGCATTCTTTTCTCTTTGGAGTGGGGTGATGTTACACTGTTTGCACTGGGTTTGGGGGAGCGATGGTTTGCTGGAATATCATTTTCTTCTGCATCTAAGCCAGTGGCATCTATGTCTATAGCTACATACAGACAAACAATTCAGAATTATCAGATGACAGGGAAAGTAAAGATAGGTTAAAAAAGGAAATTACGGGTAAAGAGAAATAAAACTGTCCAGAGTAATAAATAAATAAAAACTAAAAATCAACCATGAGAACAAAACACAATAAAACAAAGGGAATAATTTAAAGGTGCAGGACATTAGGATTAGAAGACAGAAAGTGATCTGTAACAGCTATTGTAACATTTACAAAATAGACCAATGGCCAGGTTTGTTCTTCTTACACCAGTGTAAATCCAAAGTAGTTCACTGGAATAGATAAGACTTTCACCAATGTAAACAACAGAACTTGGTCAAAACATTTGGATTGTTTTATAGCAATGAACCCTAGTTCCAAATGGGCATCATCAACTGAAATTTGAAATGTCACTAGCATGTCTATAAGAAATGAAGAAACAGCAGAAAAATCACTTTTGAAGACAAAATCATCCTGATATTGGTACAATAATATCTACATTTATCACAGGGTGGACTACAATTGGCATTTTCAACCCCTTTAACTAAAAATGCATTGTATCCATAAGACACATTTATTAGGAATAATTAAATTTGATCTACTAATAGTGAAAACTAAAATGAATGGGTAGCAGAAGAGCAGAAATTTATCCCAGCTTGACTCAGAGACATGGATCCTTTTGTAAAGAGTGAGGATGTAGACAGGGCAAAATGGAAGCAAATACAATAAACCACTGCTGTTCAACCTCTACTCCAAAAGAATATATGGCAAACAATACTTATAATGTAACTATGAATAGTTTACCCTCTTTAGCAAGTAAATAGTAACAGTTTCAATAAAAATCATCACAGACTCAGTAATAAATATAGTATCGAGACGCAAAGCCACGTTATCCTGAATGCTGAGTCCAACAGATACCTGCCAACTACATGTAAAACAAACCAAAACAAACCAAAACAAAAGGTTTCTTGTTTACTAGGATCAATTCTGATCTTAAGTAGTGATTTAAATTTGTCTTCAGAAAGCAGGTAGGTGCACAAAAGTGAACCAGAAGTGTGTTGTACAACATCACTCTTGTGTGTGAAGATTTTACCCACCTTTTAACGCACTCGGGTAACACAGGTTTATCTTGCCATGCCATTATGTCAAACTGAATCTACCACTAAATAGATCTGTAAGCAGAATCGTTTGCATTGACTTTATCCAAACCCTTAATTAATCATTGCAAACTATTATGAAACCATCTTAGTGACCTGCTTTCATCTGCTTGACGAGTGGGACATCAACTAATACAGTGGCATGTGGTATTAAATTATGTAACAAATAAATATTTCTGTCAAGCCTACATGCAGCTACTGATTTAAGAGACAACTGGAGCAGTGATTTCTTTTGTTTGTATAAAGTATATTTTCCCATTTGAATTATCCACATATCCCTGAGTCACTGTGCCTTTGAGCTCGCCCTTCCCAGGAAAGCCGGTGTGTAGATCCACATCCTGTTTCTATAATCCTGCTCCTAAAAACAGCCACAGAAGCCACGTAACATTTTCTTCTAGCAACACTGTTCCTTCATCCTCTTCATAAGTATAAAAAGAACATATTATCTTTTCTTGAATACAGGCCAGCACAGATGCTGTAAATCACTCATAATAAGGCATATTAAAACTCCTTCAGTATGTTCAACTAAAATTGTCAGTAAAGAGAAATCAGAGTTGTTAAGCTTTTCCTGTAAAAAAGAAATGCAGAACTTGATCAGCTAGATATCAATATCTCCTTTTCTCATTCTCAGTCTTCACACTATGTACATTCTTCTGTGACAGTTCTTATGCTGTTAATTATCTTTATTTCACTGTTTTTTCAAAAGTCATTTTCACCATTATGATCACTCAGTTTGGTGGCCCACAAGGACTGTATGAATTGATTACTATATCAATATAATATTGATTATTTAAATTGATATGAGCCTCCCTTTCATTTGTTTTTCACTGGGTCTTAGTCCTGTTTGTGGGTTTGATTTGATTTGGTTTTTTCTGTGGCCCTATTTTATACTGAAAAAAACCATCCCTGACTCAAGATTAAAAAATGAAATTAACTTGTTCAGTTAATATTCTTCAACCCATTAAAAAAATTATGTGTTTGCAAGTGTACTTTCAAAAAGAGGAGGTTTCGGAACGATAATTGAATTGTACTTCAAAATCACTTGAGTTCTTGTGTTAGTCACAAACTATGTCTCTTTCACCTTTTTTAGGATGTCTTAAGATAAGCAAAAAACTATTGTAGACTCAAAATCTTATGATCACAGAATCAGCTAATGTGCACTATTCATATCAATCTTCCAAATCTTCAATGTAACTGAATAAATTTTACCAGATTTCCTTCTTTCTCCAGAAAACCATGATTTTGAAAACTACCACCTGAAGAAACAGCTCAATGCAATGAAAATTACAGGATGGCTAGCAGTCAGCTGGTGACATAGGTATGCTATCTGTTCTCTTACCTCTAAATTCTGGGCAACTTTCTGGAAATATAAGTAATGATCTTCAAGTGGGTTTTGGATAGAAAACAATATTACAGCATTTCAGATGTTCTAACTATAAAATCACAATATAGGTCCAAAATAGATAAGTTTACTAAAAAAATGCAATTGTTGAAAAAGTTGGCCTTAACAGTAAACATAACAATTTAAAGTCATCATAAAATGGAAGATTAAGGTGTAGTCTACCCACTTGTGATGGACACACATTAATAAACTAAAAAATATTTTCAAAAAAAAGAGAACTTAAATGAAGCTGGAGTTTTGATAAACAAACTGCAATCATAATAAAGTTGGTTGTTATAAACAAATTCATGGTTTCACAAGAAAGACAGAAATATTTTTCAATTCATTTAATCAAATGAAGCTACTAACATAAAATAACTGAATTCCTCTGTCTCTGTTTTAATGTCCACGTATATTCCCTAAAATCTTCAGCCTGATTTTAAGACACCTGCTCAGTAGGCCAGGCTATGTATAAATGAATATGATTGGAAAATACATCTTTGCCCCAGCAGACAAGTCACTAGTAACATTCATTAATATCTTCTGCTTTCAGGTATTCAAAATGTACATGCAAAGATAAAACATCCAGCAATGCAGCAGCTGAATTCAATAGAATTTTTTTTCTATTGTAATCTGCTACGCTTTTTTCAAGGAGCTAATGCCAGCTTTCTCCACGAACTCGCCATGTATTTGCTTCATACCTCTTGAATCCAACCCACCTGAAGTTAAATCTATCTGTTGATGCTCTAAATGCAATAGTATTTGTGAAAAATTTGTCGAAGAAGGCAAAGAAATATCCAGTATCCTAGAATTATGTGAAGAACATTCTCAGAATTGTGAAACCAAAAGTTGCTGATGTTTTAAAAGACTGTCTTTCTTGATGCTACTGCAGAAACCTTTCAAGAATTTTCATTTTTATTGCTGCTTTTTCTCCTGTACCAGAAGGTATTTATTGTTCAGCAGGAGTGCTTTAACTATCCTACTGTAATGTAGTCTCACCAATTTATTATGGCTTTGCTATAAAACTCCATGGTAGAAGCAAAGAGGGAATATTGTGCCTGTCACTGCCTGAACTTGCTGGCATTGACTCCATTACTTCAAGTCTACCCAAACCAGCCTTACATGCTAGTGCAACACTAAGGTTCTACCTATGAAGTATAGGGAATAAGAAAAATAGAACTAAATCTATATCAATTTTAACAGATTAGGTTGATTGGCCTGTAAACCAAAGGGTTTACAACCTACTCACCAGATGATGGAGGCGTCGATTTTCTGGAGCTAGGAACGATGTCACCCAAACTGGATGAAGAGTTTCCTCCTGATTTACTGAAGTAAAGTAATAAATTAGTTTGAAGTTCTGTAGCTTTCTCAGTATTTATTCTAGTTTATTTATTACCTGCCTTCTAAATGAGGTGTTAGCTGTGAGACAAACAGCAGTTCTGGCAGTGGTATAAAATATACATCTCGCACAAAATGCACGTACTGCGGACTGAGGAAATGCAAACATCAATCATGCTCCTTGTGCTACTTCATGATCTTAATGTAATCCAGTTATTAATATGGTATATAATTATAGTTATTAATACTGGTATATAATTATTAATATTATAATCCATTACTAAGACTAATTCTTAAGCCAGTAAGCATATCTGTTTCCTTTGACTGAAGAGTTATTGATAAATCCCTAATGAAGATGTGACTGTGTTTGTCTACCTTTTTTCAATTTAATTGAAGTACAAATTCTTTTTGCTTTCTCAATACAAGATAGCACCTAGGAAAAAAAATCTCTCAAAGTTAAAGCAGTCTAGGGTTTTGTCACGTTCCGCTTTGTGAAAACCTACTCAAGTTATGAAAATCAAGCAATACTTTTAGTCATTTATTTCAGTTACCATAACGAGAAAAGCCCTGAAAAGTATGTAAGGAAGCCTACTTCACTCTTCAAATAATTCATGTGATAGTACTAGTTTCCACTTTCTCTATTTTAAAATATTAATAAGCATTAAGTTAATGCCTTTGTGGTGTAGGACAATGTTATCTTCGGTGAGAAGTTCTGGAGAATTTGGAAAGGGACCAAATCCCTGGGACAGATCTGGGTGTATCAGAAGTGTCCCAAGAGGAATAAGGAACCCAGCATCCTTCTGCTGAGGACAGCACACGCATGGGAAAGGCATTTCACAGCTGGCAAATGCAGCTGAGTGCTGTGGAATCGTGGTGTCCTCCTAACACAGACATGCTCTTCAAACACTCCAGCCCTTCCTGTTGAGGATGGACATTTTTGGAAAGCATTTTTGGCTTCCCAAATTGTTTCTAGTCCAGTTCAAGGTCTGTCCCACTCAGATACACTGGAAATATTTGTTTCCTATATACCTACAGGTTAACAATTGGTATTTGCTTCTACATGTGTTACTGGAAAGCTACTTTATTAAGAATTCTACAGCAAAGATGGCATTATTATTATCTTGCAGTATTGTTCAATACATAGATACTGACTCTTTTTCTTATGCAATGATGGTTGCAGTCAGACATAACAAATTACTTGACATGACATTTCCATCATAAAATGTAGCGGTTTTAAAAGCTGTATTTGTAGGCAATGAATTTGACAAGACCATTTTTTCCCCTAAGAACTAATGGGCACTGGCTTTGGCTTACAAATAAATTCATCTTAACATTTTCTCTAATTTATAAAATGAGCTTTAAAACGACTTATAAATAGCAAGATCATGAAAACAAGTAACAAATGCTACAGAATTTAGATAAATTATTTTTTAAGTCAAAAATTGTGCATGTACATTGTAAATGTACTAACTGAAAGGTATATCAGCAAATAATTTATGAAAAAAATGGACCAACTTCCATTGTAGGTCACCACAGATCAACAATTTAAATATCTACTTTTTCTCTAAAATAGCAACGACATTAAGTGTCTTATTAATTAATAATTTAACATGTAAAATATGTTATATATTCTATAATAACGTATAACCAATTATATATTAATTCCTTCATTATTTCAAAGTGTTTGTAACTGCCATTTACGATAATTAATCATACATACGAACAATACATAGCACTAATTTCCAAGTTGTTTCACAGACAATGCTACTATTTTTAATGATTTCTTGTTATTACCTGGAGTAGAATTTTCCTTGTTTTGCCTTTTGTTCATGCTGCAGCCTCATGTTTTCTAGTTTGACTGGACTTGGTATGAATCCTATTTCACAGCCTTCTTTTACCAATCGTCCTATCCACCAGTCATTATTAAATTTCTACAGATTAGAAAAAAAAAAAAAAGAAAACAGTAACATACTGAGAAATTACTAGATCCGGGATAATTTTGTTATTAGTTTTAATTTGCAGCTATGCCATTTTTTTTTAATTCTTCCCTGCACTTAATCACTCTGCTATGCTATTACGGCAGTGAAGAATTGTGGTAACATTCAGAAATACATTAAAATAGTTATTCCTTTTAAATTATTAAAATCCACAGTGCTTAAGCAGAAACCTTCCTTCATAGACTTTTTGTTTCCTTCTGGCTTTTGTTTTCACCCATTTCACCATCTTTATTTTTTCTTGCTTCCCAGTATTTTTCCCTCATACAGGAAAGTTGCTTTTGTTTTCCCTTCATGGTTCTCCTCGGAGAACATCAGAGACTTCTTCTGATCTACTCTGACCTACTGCTACAATTTTTATGACTCTGTAATAATCTATTGGTTTTACTCCATTATATTCAGTTCCCTATTCAAATTAAAAAATACTGCTTCTCAAACTCCCCCACTCCTCCAAAGTCACCAAAATCTTCTGAAATATGACCAAATTCTGCTGCTCATATATGCTCTACTGCATATAGCTCATGTGATCTGCATCATAAACTATGATAGATCCAGAAGGAATGGATATCTTTAGATAACTAAAAAACCCTTACAATTATACAAATCCACAAGTAGTCCAATTAACTGAATTTAAGCTCTATGTAATATGAGATAATGACTACTCTAATTCAATACATTTATTCATACACACACAAGGGGGTTGGGAAGGAGCTTTTTTATTTTTCAGAGGTCTGAAGAGCAAAACTATTTCCTTTTTCCATTACTATTTATTCACCATTTTTGGATGAGAATAGGTCACCCTTTTATATGGCCCCACATGCAATACTCTCAGTGTTCCATGGGAATAACTACCACCAAATATGAATTTTAGATAATTTGGATTATTTATGAAACTGTAGAAGAACATCTGAATGTGAAAAAAGTTGCCTTCTTGAATTTGAAGCTCCTAATATAAATATTATAGTGCTTTTTAATTATTTATTAAGTAGCTTTAACAAGTGTATAGTTAGGAATAAAACATAAAATGTGTGGGCTCCCACACAAAGGAATTAATTTCACCACGAATACATCATTGGTGGATCATTGATACACAACCTAAATTGCAGTATTATCTTTCATTTTGGCAACTATAGAAATCTTGTGAGGCTTGAAACCAACTATAAGATATTTAACTCACAAAAAAAATAGAGATTAAAATAAAAGCACTTTTAAGCACATAATATATAAGAAGATCTGTAAAATATGAATCCAATGGGATGCCTTTATGAGTAAGAATACCAGCATTTGATAGGGAGCTAATCTGGAATAGCAGTTTCTCAAAGACGTATTAGACTGAAACATATAATTAAAATTATAACCTTTCATTGCAAAATGCTAACTAAATCATCAACTTGGTAAAAGGAGGAGACAGATAATTAAAAACCACCATTAAATTACAATTTGAACAGCCGCTATTATTTTATGCTGTCCTACAGTACAACAGATTACTACATAACAACGTTAATTTTATTTGAAGTTATAGAAATGTTAAATACATAGAAATTTTTCTTCATATAAAAATAAGAGCATGTGGAATTCACTTTTGCAAAGTCTCAAAGCTAAATGCTGTGTCAGTATATGAAAAGGAATATAAGATACTTTTATAAGTAGATAATACCATACATAATACTTCCTAATTTTAAAAAGCAACAATGGAAATCTTGGTAGTGAGGTGTCCAGCTCCCAAAGTGCTGGCCAGGGTGAGCGATTTTCTGTAATTCACCTGTGCTTGGAGTGCCAAGGGAAACACAAAATATGAATTAAATGCAAAGCAAAATTATGACCATGAATTAAAGCCTCAAAATATTCAGAAGTGATCATGATGAAGCACACATTTCTTCATGCAGGAAGGAATCCTTCATCTTTATGTCCACTTAGTTTTAATGAATGTAACCTAATAATGAAAATAAATTTCCCTCATACATAATCATTGCAATACTTTTCACCATTGTCCATGTACATTTTGAACTGAGTTTTTTCTTTCTTGAGCCCTCTCAGCAGCAGAAATTAGTGAACAGTCCTCAGGGACAAGAAGAGGACAGCATTGGTCCAGTACGGCATCATTACACAGGCAAAACTTATTGGACACTAACTTAGGTTTCTTTATTTCTAGCGACAAGTTAGGTATAAAATATAAAAGCAATACTTCATTTTATTGTCACATATGTTTTTTTTACTTTTAATCTGCATAAATCATTGAAGTTTGGACATTTCAGTTCTCCCAGCATTAACTACAGGGAGAACCAAAAGTACTGAAGGAGCAATATCTGTTGGGATACAGAGGCCTGAAGAGCAAGCAGGACATGGCCATGGAAGATGGAGGGGGAGGACAGAACTATGCAGGAAAGGGGCTGCTGCTTGGAGCACCCTTCTGGGGAGGTTCAACCCATCCAGACACAACAGCTGCTGCCAAACATGGAACCAGAGAGTCCAAGTCTGACTTGCAGATCCTTCCCTGCTTTTCCATTCCAGTGGTGCGCCTGGACCCGGTCACAGGGTCCCGTCCCCAACCCATCTCTGGCCTAGCACTGCTAGGCAGCCAACTTTCCTTGACAGCTTAGAGAGAAAACCAGGCGGTTTTAAAGGCTATTCGCACAGAGTGCCTCTTCTATTACATCTGAGACTGCAACAACATTTTAATCTATTTTTCCATCTCTCAGTGCTACATGTGGCCACAGATATTACAACAACTCAGTTGAGCTAAGCTTCCTTTCAAGGTATTTTTGGAGATTCAGAAAAGTTCAGAGAAATTTTTCATCCTGATGCTCTCCCAGGTATCTGTACATCTGAGACTAAGTTGTGCTGTGAGGAAAAAAGCATAAACTTTAACACAAAACTGCTAACACTGTGTTTCTGGTTCATATGGAAACAGGGAAAACACTTGATGTAAAGCCTGAGATTACCACTTCATCTGAAGTACAGATGGAATAGATGACTACAGAAAATCATTTGATCTAACCAAACTGAGCCATATTTTCCAGTGCTTCAAGACTCACCAGAGAATGATAGTTTTCTTTTGCCAGAACTCTGTGCCTTCTCATCTCTACTTCTATTATAGGACAGAACAGAGCAATTCTTTCACACTACTGTCAGACAGAAAACATATGTCCTTCACTATATACAATTGGAACCAAAAGTATCCCCTTTTTGCATGTTTACTATACATGGAAAATTTTCACCATTAGTCATCAGTATGAAGGCACTAGAAGTCCATTTCTTGTGTTTCTGTAGCCTCTGTCCACCTGTATTTCTACCTCTGTATTAGGAATGTTTCTTGCTTCTGCAAAGCACTTGCACTACCAGAATCAATCACTGTGCATCATCTATCATAACTATTGAGGGATTTTTTGATAGTCTAAAATGGGGCAAAGCCATAATTTCACATGCATGGTTAGGTTGCTATCAACCCAAGTTAACTTTCTAGTTCTTTTGTTATAAATTTCCATTTTCAGATAGACCATTTTGAAACAAACCCCAATGGAATATGAATAGAAGCTGGGAACCTCAAACAATGAGGGAATGATTCAGAAGGCAGCGGCACGCTGCAGAGGACGGCCTGCATGGCAAAGTTACCAAGTTATTTCTTTGGGATTGTCTTGCAAGGAGCAAAGAAATAAAATTACTCTTGGTGTTTGAAAATGTTAAAATTCAAACTTTTCAAAGCCAAACTACAGGAAAAGAAAGCCAATGCAGCAATCTCAAAGCACCTTTTATGAAAGTTGCTATCATCTTGAAACATCATACCAGTTCTCCAGCATGTAACTGTTAATAAAATATTGTCTGTGCCAGGGAATTAACTTCAAAGAAAAAAAAAAGAGACCTGAGGATTTTGGAGTTAATTGAGATGCAATCACACAAACAAAAGAGAAGCAACCCTGGACTGCTGAATCACAATGAACCCTCATAGTACTAGGTTAGAAAAAAACCACAAATATTTTATCTTTGAATAGTCAGACACACACTTTTAAAGCTATAAATAAGGGACTTTTACTAGACAAGAAAAGTGCTTGCTTTCTGAACTTCATTAATTTGATTTTAAGGAATTTGTGTCTTTGCTTGTAGGAGGATAGCATTTAAAAGAACATTCAATTCCTGATACAGTTACCTTATTTAAATAACATTTGAAAAGTGCTTTAACAATGTGAAGTATTATCAGCATTGTGAAATATACCTGTTACTCAAATATACCCTTAAATAGAGATTCACTTACTCCTCTGGTTTTACTTACTTCTTTAACATGAAGAAAATCTTTAGCCTCAAATGAGATGGCCATGCCTGGGACTGGAACATCGTCATCATGAGCTGCACTGTACCCAACATTTGTCCGAACTGCAAATGCAACAGGTTTTGACTGCAAAAAAAAAGATAAACAGCCTGAAGACTTCCCTTGCGAACATATATTTATGTACAAACACATACACAGAAAAATTCTGTAAGTTATCCTTTTAAAATCATAACAGTTACAGAGAACTCTCATTGCATCCATGCAAAACATAAAGAAGAATCGCATTTACTGATACCAGTTATTTAATATCAACACATTCCGTAGAATACAGAGTTTTAGAAAGTGATAGAGCTCTGAATTAATTTGAGATAGGTCAAGTCAGTAATTAGAAACTACAATTCAGTTGGTGATCCATATATTATGCTTAGTTTGCAGTTCTGCTTCGAGTTCTGTGCTTGGGGCTGCCATAAGAGGTAGGGTTCCAAGAGCTACAAAGCCTACAGCCCCAGGGACACTGGGGCTGAAAAAGGCATGCCAAGGGGAGCACAGCATTGCACCATGTTTTTCCCTCCATACCTTTCTTTTCTGGGCTCCCACGTGCTGGTCACCTCAGCCTCATTGCTAAGGCTGCCATTAGTGAAGCCCTCTCAGCCTCAGCCCTCAGATAGTGTTCAGGGAAAATACAAATTTGGAGAAGAGGTGCCAGCAGCTGTTAGTGACCCCTATGCAAGTCATTCACTGCAAGCCATTCTTAGAGCACAGCAACGTGCCCCAAGATCGTCATGTCATAACTAAATACCAACCACAGAGAGATTTGCTCATTCTCATAACTCTTTCTATAACTTTTACTGCTACATCAGTGAGTTTAGAGGATTTTCCCAAGTTTTGTTTTCAAGAAGTCGTTGCTGGAAGAGTCAGTGCCCCCACTGGCCCCCAGCCCTGCCTTCCACCTTCTCCTTCCAAGCACCACTGGTGCTAAACACTTTTCTGCACAGGTATGGTAATAAAAGCTGCCGTCCAGATCAGCTCAGACTGTAACTACTGAGGGCTTCCTCCTCTCAAAGGTACAACCAGAATACAGGAGAACTTATTCTGCTTTATTCTATGCTAAATATCACCTTGACCTTGGTCTCCCAACAAAGGATATCACACACAGTATCCCTAGGACCCACCATTGTCCTACCCTAGGCTAAACCTTCAGCCCATCCCAGAACTCTCCACACCACACTTATTATCTAGTCTGAAGTGCCTATACATTAAAGCTGGTAAAATATTCTTTAAAATGTTGAACTAAGTCTCAGAGGTGCTCACAAGTGATTGAGGAAGGCATGACATAACTCTTCATCTTAAAATATAGTAAAACTTCTATCAGACGACAATTTTAGCTTTATTAGTTGGTATCCATCATCACTTCAGCTCGGTAAAAAGTATGGTATTTTGCTGAGCTGACAAGCAAAAAAAATAAATCTCATTTCCTATGTAAGGAATTTCTTCCCTTTCTTCTCAACGTAGAAGTTATGAAAATGCACCCCCTACTTCATGACAGCAAACATGAATACCTGAAAACAAAAATCATTCTCTGTTTTTCTGATTACTAAAAATCCCTGCCTGCTGTACCCACGATTACTCACATGGTGCCAGAGAACGGAGACCTGCCACATTAAAATACATTATAAAATAATGAGGGAGATACATAAATAATTCTAAAGGCAGGATGATGCCACCTAGCCTGGAAAGGACAGTTGGAAATAAATGGAGAGAAGGATCCCTTTATTGCTTCATTTAGGTCTAATGTGCTGTAAAACCCACAGGGTCCCAATAAAGCAGACTTGAAAACTCCTTAAATAGGCCTGTATTTGAATGAACTACCACAAACAGACAATTACATCTATGAGCACATTCTAGGAAGGCTTTCTAATTTAGAAAGCTCTTTCATAACAGTGGGGTCAAGAGAGTCTCTGTGTCCTGCAGAAGTGAAACTAGCAGTTTCAACAAAACTAAATTTTGCAATGGGACTGCAGAATTGGCTTCATGTTTATGTGGTATTCTGGATCTAAATACATGTTTGTACAAAGGGATGATCAGGAAATTATTGGAGAAGAACTTTATCCCATCTGTTCTTTCTTCTGGAGTCAGTGAAAAAAATTTTAAGAATCTTAGGAAAGATTTGGGTAGAAGGGCTCTAAAAACTGAAAGTGTCACCACTACATTAATCATTGGACTCAATGATCATAGAGGATTTTTCCATCCATGATGATTCTATGATTCTATGATTTAAACAGACACTCATTTAAACCAGAAAGCCAATGGCAGATTAAAAAATGAAATACAGGTGAATATATTTACAGGTTGAAATAACACATCTCAAGCGTTGACTATCTCTCTTGCTGCTTAGCCACAATTAGAACATTGCAAATAGTCAATGGGTTTTTTTTCCAGGTAACCTGTTCTAGGAAAAAAATTAATTTAAAAAAAATTAGAGTAATATGTGAAACACAACAATGAAATAAACAGACAATAATTTTTAAAGTCTATTTTCTTCCAACAAGGAAAATCCTATTGCTGTTGAAACATGTTTCGTATATTACTCAATGGATATAGGTTATATAAACAACTTGATTATATTTTTATCATGCAAGAGAAAAAAAGTTCAAATCACAAATAATATTTTTAAAAATATGTTTACACAACAGATAGGCCAATCAGATTTACCCATTAACAGAAAAAAAAAGTAGAAAAACATATAACAAAAGGCAACTGGTTTAGATGAGTTTAGTAGATGTATTTATTAGCTATCATACTATGTTAGAAGATGATAGCCATAGTTTTTATATATATATATACATATATAAAAATATATGTAATATATATATATATATATACACATATATATATGAATATATATAAACACAATAAAAAACTAAGAGCTGTCTTAGCTCATTGTGTTGGGCATCTTTCTCATACCCTGATCTTTTCCAGTGTGTTGCAAAAGGAGTTTAGGCACTTAACACAAATTTCTGGACATCAGTATAAGAGAAAGGTATGTAAACAATAAATCCTTAGTGAGTTAACCTTGTTGTAACCAGATAAACTGTTAGAAGGGCATCATGATATGATTATGCATTCATGATTACATTTCTGAAAATGGGCATTTATGAAAGTGATCATCCAAAAATAAATTTTGGTGATTTCTCCACATCAATTAAAAAATCTTGCATTGTTGATGCAACAGGTATGTCCACTTCCTAGCAACTCAAATTTGTCTTATTCATCTCCTTTACAATTCTCTCACTATTACTACCGCTCATTTACCTTACATAGAAGATACCAAACTATTATAGAACTAGACATGCCACAAAGAAGTAGTCACACAGGCACTGAATTCAGCAATATCACGTATCTTCCTTAAAAATAAAAGATAGCATAAGTTACTGGTTTTTAATATTCACACAAAACCCGAAAGCCTTCCTGAATGTAAAAATTACAGACCAACAGAGGTGATGCTTTCTATGCTATTACAAATTTCAACACTGAAAATACAGATATGAATAAGCATTAAATTGTCAAATGTTCTAAACAATTCTTAGTATCAAATAGTATCTCATCAAACAAATAATTTGGTGTTATTAAGGAAGATAATTTTCTAAAGCATAGGAAACTGTCATTGTAGAAATATATCTCAGAACAAGAACTGAAATATTGCGGAACAATCTGTGCCTAACACTGATAGGAGGGACACTATGCTTGCTTATCCATTCTCACAATTTCTGTATCCTCTAGCAAATATAAAAAATTGCTCAAGTGTTGTTACTTACTCCTAATAGTATCAGTGGATGAAAGACTTTAGGCTGACTACAGACTTTAAAATCTTTGCAGCATTGCAACAAATAGACATCTTCAGTAAGTTAGTGTCCTTGACATACTTAGAAGTGATCTAAAATTTCCTGTTAGAAGACAACACCTGGTTATCCAAGAAAAAGAATAAAATAGAAACTACTCCAGAACTATCTTAATATGAAAAAAAAGTAACAGGTAAAACTCCTCTGTCATTTTCTGCCATCAAAAAATTAATTTCTATGAGCAGAAAAACAACAGAGAACATTGAGCTACAGATATTCCCAGAAATGGAATGTCCCATTTTAGATACTTGTCATACTGGTAGAAAGGGAGACTGAATTATCATGGGATTAGACTACAATACTTCATCTAATTGAATATTTAAAACTAATTAATTTATAGAAGTTAAATTCTAGTCTTTTTACATAAATAAATAATTCTGAAGCTTTCCCAGAACTGTCAGATTAACTAGTTTTCCTGAACTACATTGTCTTGAACTAAAAAAGCTCAGTTGTTACGTAATTAGGGTCTGATGAAAAAGAAGTAATTTTTTTCACATATGCATATACTTTAAAATATATCTAGAATTTGGTTACATATCCTACAGTTCTAAAATTAGATTGGGTCAAAACAGTTAAGCACTTTCTGTTCATTCTCTAAATTTATATGAAAATGGGATGACAGTTTAGCACTCAGTTAATCCACAGACTGGACTACAAGGACAGATGCTCTGAGATGTTAAACAGTTTAACATTTCATGTCTCTCTAAAGAAACAAAGTAGCCTGGAGAAGTTCATATCTCTTCAGAATGAACACTTCCACTTTGTTTTTCTTTTTTTCTCCTGTAAAAGTACAACATTCAACAGACTGAATAAACCCACAAGGAGAACAACCAGACACGAACATTACCATCATCTGTACCACTAGGGTAGCAGGGAACACACTCTGGAATGGGGTTCTTCATGAACCAGTTTCAGCTTCCAATTTAAACTCAGAATATAAATCAACAAAATTGTATTCACCAACTGTTAAACCATCTTTGGCTTACACTTTGACAACCAACACAAATTAAAGTGAGTCTAGAGTGACCTTAGTCAATTTAATCTTTTTCTATCTGGATCTCACTTCTCCCTTTACAAGTTATATTTACTTTATACATCTTCATACTAACCTCATTACTAAGTCCATACTATTTGCAGTATTATTATACTTTATTACTTATGTTCCCTCACTCTTGTGTTATGACTAACTCATATTGAATGCATACACAAGCACTTGCACATTGTACC